GAAAGAGAATTAACTACGTGGTTAAAAAAGTAACTCTTTCATACAAAACCTGTTTTAACTTATTCCTAAATTAAATAGTCCAGTAAGTTCAGCTTCACAATTGTTGGCTTCAAAAACCAGTTTTGGGACTTTTGCCCATCTTTTGCTTCCCTTCACAATAATAAATCAGTGGCAGATCTTGATTTTCAGTTCTGTATCATCTTAAGGTGGAGGCATTTCTTTTATGCCCAGCTCCCTTTCTCCCTTGGCAGCAGAGAATGGAAGACTATACAGAAAGCAGTATTTGGCTATTAAGCCTTTCCTCTCTGAAATGTACTGCTTTTTTCTTGTTGGGAGAAAGAAAACATAGCAGAACTAACAGAATTGGACCACAGTCTCTTTTTTTATTAACTCCAGGTCATTCTTCCCTTATTTTTATTCTACTCTCCTTCATTAAAAAATTGGGTGAGATTACCTACCTCTGCCCAAGGGCTGGAGAAAACTGGCATCCTAGGGAAAGGAACAATGTTATGCTTTTAGAAATCAGCTTTATGTTCTCCAAATTCTTGGATGTTGTGAATGATGGAATAAGTCAGAGAAGCCCTCAGGTAAATCATGGTTCTGATGGGCCATCTCCCTTGCAAAGGGACCTTAACTTCAAGACTGCTTGCAAACCCCACAGGGCTGTGCATTACACAAGACACCTCCACTTTTCATCTCTAAAAAGAACATCTCTGCAGAAGTAAATTTTTGTTTGTAATAGACAAATCAGTCTTTTACATTGTTAAAATTACTAATAATCTAACACTAGAGTTCTGAAGCTTTTTCTGCCAGAAAGGGGATCAAGCAAGGGAAGCTTCTAGCCTCATATCTCAAAACACTAAGTTTGATGTGTAAGATCTTGGGTCTGTAGACAGCAGTAACTTCTGACACAGGATCTCCATTTGATTTTGATATTTAAAAAACACAAAATACACAGACTATTAGGACTGCTTTTTTTCCTTCAAGTTTCTTTTGAAGACTCCATGAAAGAAACACAATAGACACACGATGGATTAAAAATTGGTTTCTAAGAGTAAAACAATTACTTAAAATGAACTAAACGAATATTTATGGGAGTGAACAATTAAAAAAATCAAATTCAGATGTTCAAGAATATTTTATTGCCATGAGATGACTTACTTATATAAGAGGTGCGAAGCTTTTTCACAGACTCTGAATATAAATTAGAAAGGCCGCACATGCAAGAAGCCACAGTCAGCATACCTTTATGAAGCAATGAGAAAAGGAAAGACGGAGACACTAACAGTACATTTGAGACAGAAAAGCCAGCAGAATAACTTGTATAACCAGGTTTATAGAACGCTCTTGCCATGCAGATCGTTAGTATTAAAATGTAAGATGAAAAAATATGATTGTGTAACAGTTATATTCACAAACAAACCAGACTTCATTCATGAACATCTTAGACACAGTTGTAACTCAGTTATGTGGATCCAATACATTAAACCAACAAAAGCCAAGAAAACAAAGCAAGTAATGTTTAACACTTCAAAAGGCAGTTTATCATCTAAATGCCTGAAGTAGAATTTAAGCCCTTTATTCCCAAGATGAATTAACATAGTCAACCAGTAAAGTTATTTCTCTCTTAAAAAGTAATTTTAAAAATAAAGCTTTATTTATTAGAAGAAAATATTTTATCATCTGACAGGATACCAGTTGTGTTCTGCTATGTGTTAATGATTTTTAGACCAGCTTCCTCAGTTGAAATAAGCTGACTGGTGCTAACTGGATCTTTCTCAAACCAATGATTTACTAATATATATCTTGGAGCACCCACTTCAATTTGAATAAAATATTACCTAAGGAACTTACCTGGACTTTATTCTGGATCACAAAATAAAGCAACCAACACTACAGCATGAAGAAGTTTTTTGAACAGTTTATTTCCAATCAAAAAATAATCATTTGGGGCAGCAGCGACAGTTTATAATTGCCTTTAGCCGTTTGCCAAATTAGCTTAAAAGTATCCACTACATAACATGAAGGAGGAAAAAAAAAAAAACCTTAAAAATACTAAATTTTCTTTTTGGCAATAAAAAGCTTGGAATTTTGACTGAAAAGTCACTTTCCTCCTCAGCTGCAAAGAAACACTCTTCTTCAGTATATTTTTAAATCAAAGTCCTTTTTTAAAAAAAAAAATTATTTTACCAGCTTGTATTTGGAAGTTTATTTGGTTCATTTAAATCAAAAGCTTCCTCTCAAGCATAACATAATGGCATACAGAACATAACATGCTTTAACTCATCAGGGACATTCCTAGTCAAAGTTTAAGATAGGAAACCTAAAGATCCCAGCAGATACACTGGCTATCTGCAAGCATTAAAGCATGTGTTATATGGGTACTACGTTTATCAGAAATACCAGGATACTTCTACTTCTTCATCCTGTGTTAAGTTGAACTCTTGCAAACTGCATAAATCCATTTTGCATTTATACTTATATCTATTCACACAGATAATGTTTTCCCGTCTGCTTTAAAACATACACTGCACTGAAGAATAAGTAATGATATCAAGCATCAGTAGATTCCACTAAGCAACAGTTTTCAAGAAACATGAAGTAAGAAACCTGCAACAGTGACATTAGGGACAGCTCAAGAAGAAAGGATGAAACCACAATGGAGAAAGTATGCTTGTGTTCAAAGAATATACACTAATAGCTCAGATAAGCTCAGAAGAAAGGCACAGTTGGTTAAAACAAGTTTTGGGTTACTCACCTCCAGATGGTTGCCGAGTTTTTCGGGGAGATCGTGGCTCCCTGCGATAAGGATCATTGGAGCCATACAGCTCGATAGTGCCTAGATTCAAGAGCACTGTCTTCTGGAGGTAATCAACCATGGCAATACCATTACAATTTCCAAAAACTACTCTGGAAAGAGAGAAGTGGAAGGAAAGATAGTGCTAATCAAATGTTGGTAAAGTTTTATATTGGTATTTGTTGCTGTTCAGAATTTTAAGACTTCCTAGTTTTTATGAATTACCCTACATTATGCATATTTATAAATTACTGTTTTAGAATGCAGTATTAATTGTTCTGTTATAAAAACAGTGCCACTGAGTAGAACAGATCACCGTCATTGTACTTGCCAACCTATCTGACAGTCTTAAGTGAGATTTACTCTTGGCTGTACAGTGTCAGGTGAAGAAGTGTGATGCTGATTTGTTTCTGATGTTAACATCATCAGGATCTGCCATGACCCAAAAGGAATGATCTTTTATGCACGGGAGACCGATTGCCTCCCTTGTGTTCCTGTGTAGCTCATGTGAACACACATGGAAACTTAATTTTTAATAGATAATTTTAAATCGCTTTAACAGAATACTGAAAAAAATGTGTAGAATATACTTACAGGCCATACGCTGAGTTGACTGCTAAGCTGGTTATCTGTTGAGGAGGTTCTCCACTCACCCACACTAGCTGGATAACTAGCTCAATTTGGTAGCCTGGAGACTGCTTGAGAGGGGAATTTTTTACTCTGCAAAGTAAACAAAATATGGTATCTTTTTATTATTCTCCACAGTCTCCATTTCTTCCTTATGGGCTCAGAATTCATTAAATTCTGTGCCACACTGGACTTTAGAAAGCTGGAACATTGCAAAAAATCAACGCAAACACATAAAAGCAACCAGAAAAAAAATGCATTGGAATTGGTCATTCCCTTCTTTAAGGGCCGTTTTGATTCATTACCTAATTAAGCAATGATAAAAAAATATTTTATTTCTCCCCTCTTCAGAGCAAGGCATAAGAGTGTTAGCATACTGTATTGATTTGAATAAAGGCATTCAGTGTCTAAAAGGAAGGCGTTACCAATTCTTTTCAGAGTTCCCAAATGAACTGAGAATGGAAGGGGGTGATTGGGTGCATGTGGAAGAAGTGTACTGAAAAGGGACACTGAAGCACAATGTATTGAGACAAACAAAAAGCTGATGATATTGTAGAGAAAAAAGAAAACAAGGTAAGTTATTATAATGGTAGACTGGTTGTATGGAATGAATCTGGGAATGGGGGAATTGAAGCTCCTGGAAAGATTCTGTTTTATAAGTTCATTCACCAGCATGCAATGTCCTGCAGAAAGGACTAGGTCTTTCACCGTTCAAGGTGAAGAAAGTTACATAGAACATAAGCTCCTCCAGTTCCTGATTTTCCCTTATTTTACCCATTCATTCTCATTAATGCATTTTTTGGTTTGGCAATATTTTACAAAATTTCAGCATTTTCCACTTTGTTTTATTCCATCCAGTTTTCTTTAGAAAGACACTTCTGCAACTCAGTATAACTAATAAGATATGAAAATGCTCAGAGAAAATAACCCCATCAGAATTAGTTATTTTCTGGATGGATGCACTCAGAATTAAAATCCAAGTTCAGACTTTAACTTCAGAAAAGAAAGTACATACATATCTTAACTTTATATCTGAAAATAAAGTTCTGAAATACATTCTGAAAGGAAAAGGTGATGATTAGAGGCCTCATAATGCACTCTTGTAGAGGATTAAAAGATATTGTCTTCTTTTAACCTTCATTTCTCAAGTAAGTCAAAGTTCACACATGAAGAACCTTAAGGAAAAAACCTCCAAATTTAAAAAAAAAAAATCTGAAAATTGGTCAAAGACCAACACTGCAAGCACTATGAGGGATCATGAGAAGTGAAGATACATGAGAATGGGATATTATTTAACTTTTTCCTATTCCCAAAATACGAAGTAGTTCCCTTAGGGAGTTATGAAAAAATATTTATAAGCCTAAAAAGAGTTACCTCTCAGTTATTCATTTGTAAGCATTTTCATCGCTTTTGATTTGGCTCTAAAAATCTAAGGCTCTGGAAAAATAACAGGTGAAGTTTACTTGGCCTGAAGTTAAGGAGAGCCACAACATTAAATTGCCTATTTATTTCAATGGACAATAAGATTTCAAAGTAACTATATTGTTGCTATTGAGAATGTTTGCTCTAAAGAATAAGCATCTAGAACTATACTAACATCTATGCCAAAGTTTCCTAAAGAAGGCAGCAGTCATACGGTAAGAATTTTCAGATTTTTTTAAAAAATCAGCTTATGAAGTTTAAAGAAACTAAGATTGAATATTAATTTCTTAGAACAGAACTCAACTTCTCAATTTTCAGATATTTGGAAAACATTGCTCCAAGAAATAAAACATTTTTACCAACAATGACATTTTTGTAAAATTATGAAAGTACATGTATTCTCATCACATTCTTGTAAAGTTTGACACTCAAAAGTATGACAGAATATACTTACTTTAAACATGGGACATTATCACGAAGTCCATCAGATGAACTGCTACTAGTAGATGGATGAGATTGGGGAACAATGGATTGAGGATTGGAACCTGTGCCTGGAGTTGGTAAAGGTGGCACCTGTTCACCATCTGGAGATTCAACATCATTTATTTCATACAGCAGACGTACTTCCAGCATCTGTAAATGAAAGCAAAAGAATTATCAGTAAAAGTGCAACTGAAGATACTAGTGATTAAAGTGACATCCAGGACTTTTCTGTCTTTTAAGAGATAACAGCAGTTTAATAAACAGTGCAACCTAAACACACACATGCTCTTCAAAAATACATACTAACTATACTACAGACTGAATATCTGAAGGTTGTTAAAACTTAAAAATCTAACTTATTTCCCAATATTCAAAAGTGTGCTGCTTAATATTGGAAAGAAATTAAATAGCAGATACAAGACACATTTATCATTCTGCGCACATAAATTCTCAGTTACATATGTACTTGTTTCATGTAGTTCAGGAATGCTAAAACTAAGCAGCACCAAAGGCATGTAGACAGCTCCACTTTGTTATAGCACTGTACACACGGGACTTCAATGTTTAACGTTGCACTGAACTAGACCATATATTTTAAAGAACTGTAGGTTCATCATGAGTTCAGATTTCCTTCTGCTGGGTCTATAACGATATTAGTATTAATTGTAGTGAAATGTAAAGAAAGTTTTCCACTGTTTTATTCTCATCATCTGCAAAGTAGAACTTAACTCATGGACCAAAACTAAGAACTATAAGCACTCCCAGTACTGAAGAATAGTTTGCTAGGTGCTGATTTGCAAAAAAACCCCAAAAAACCCAAAAAAAACCCCAACAAACAAACAAACAAAAAAATTTAGAAAAACTATTCCCTCAGAAGGGAATGTACTTGTACATAACTAAACATCAGAAGGAAAAAAAAAAAACCCAAGTCTCATTTCCTTAAACTGAGACTTACCTGAAGGGGGTAGAATGGGGTGGAGGAGGAAAAAAAACTACATTACAATTAATGCTTTACTCAGAACATACAATATTTTATAATTAAATGGCTTCAAGTTTGCTTTCAGCTCATACATTCAGATAAGCTGCATGTGTGTATCTGATTTAACAAAGGACTTTCAAAACCTCATCATCGTATCTCAGATTAACAGTGACACAGCAAAATCCTTAACAGACCTTATGGCATGTCTGGCATATTTCCACTCTTCTAGCTCTGCATACTGCAGAAGTTTTGCCAAGACAGATGGTAATTATTAGGAATCAAGAAAAAAAAATGGAATCAACTCCCTAAAAGCTTTGAAAGTTCTTCAACTCCACCTCTCACTCACTTTTGTTTTAATTTTACCTTTGATACAGCCAAGTTTTGACCGAAAATTTACTTTGACAGATATAAAGAACTACTATTGCAAAACTTCAAAAAGCCAATGAAACCTAAAATTGTGGTGTGCAATTTTATCTTTTGCTGAATTTCATAATTTATTTTTTTCCTCCACAAAAATACATCTCATTTTGAGGCAATTGTTTTCGTCCATTCCATTAATGAAAGACAATGAAGAACTACATTGCTACCACAGTTGTTTTATAGCTTACTACTACAAAGTTAAGAAGTGGTTATATTAATTACCGGAATGACTTCTGTTGTGACTTCCTGCTTGCTGAACCTGTAAATAATGACATGTGCAGAAACTCCAGCTATGCACAGCATTCTACTTTCTGGACACCATGAGATGATCTGAATAGCATATGGATCTTCATCTACTATATCTGTGTTTGGCCTGTCATCTTTATTCCGTGATTTTTCAAATACTTTGGCCGTTTTTAGCTTATAGAGTACTTGCAGCGTTACTAGGAACAAACCAAAAGAGAAAAAAATTAGCTTTGATCTAACCAAATATTTTTCTCCTTAATTTTTCTAGCTTAGAAACTTCTTTTCATAAAGCCACTATATTCAACAAAAGAGGACAGAGTAGAAGCACTGAATATCAGTGCTGACTTTGCGCAGTGCACCATTTTCCCAATGCAGGATCAGTTAGTATTAAAAACCACAACACAACACTTTTCCTGAGAGATATGTACTAAGTTTCAACTATTAACTAAGCCCTCACAGCTTCTCAAGGCTTAACTATACTTTGGGATCTCTTTATAACATCTAGTTAACTATGCCACACCCACAACTTAAGCCTACCTATGGCAGCAAAAGTGAAGCTCCTTTCCTTTCTCCTTACAGTATTTCAAATTCATGGCCTCTCACCTGCATTCTCAGACTTAACAGCCCTAATTCCTCCAATTTTTATTTTGTCCTGTTTGATCATTCAAAAGCATTGGCCCCTGACGAGTCCACAGTTTTCTTGACAGTGTGTTTCCTAGAACTGTTCTAGTGAGGCCTTGCTACAGTTTAAAATCGTGAAAGAATTACTCCATGTTGGTTTTAAAGATATTCCCACTTATTTATCCCAATGATTTTTTTGTGAAACATTGCAATCCATTAGACCTCCTTTTTTTTTTCCAGATAATAAGTTCTGAGTGTAAATCATTGATCCTATATTCAAATAAATGGTCTTGGATGCTTGAATTAGCAATGTCATTCTCAATTGTAATTCTAATTCTTTCTTACATTTTCTGTCAACTGTGTTGGTGTTGCTTTAAAACTTCACAGGCATATTCTCCAGTCAATGGCCCAAATCACTGCTACAAATACTCATCATATCATTAGGAAAACTTGATTTATAGCATCCTTTCTCCTCTTCCGTATTTCAGTGGTTTTACTTGAATCACACTTCCCTAGTTCATCTGTAAGACTGTGTTATTAGAGATTTAAAGTTTTAAAATCAAGACACAGGACACCTGCAGTTTCTTCCTTAACAGGTTTATTTATCTGTTTTAGAAAGAAACTAAGTGTCTTTAACAGGATCTCCTTTTGACAGTTCTACACAGAATAGAATTTTTAGGCACACAGAATCAATTAGGTTTGGGTTCCCCCCCCCTCCCCCCCACCTCTCTCTCTCTCCCAGGTTCCACCCCCACCCAAAACTGAAATTAAAGATCTCTAACACTCCAGATACTCCTCCTCCCAGTTTTTAAACATATACATTGCATCTGTTCCCTCCCACACCCACACACCCCTTTGCATTTTGGACTCTCAGTCTTCCACAAGTTTTCAAAGAGAACTGATAATGATTCCAAGATTGTTTCAGACAGCTTTTAAGTACCAAGTGTAAGGTTAGTCAGAACTAGAATAATTAAAACATGTAATTCTGAATTCAAACATCTGTGTAGTCCATTCTAATTTGAATTCTTACTGCATTTCTCGCTGTTAGCTGTATAGACTATCAGATGCAATTGACCCTTTAACTGAAACACAAAATGGTATTAGACTTTTCAGGCACATTCAGTGTTCCAGAGAAAAGTGTCTTTATTTTACTGTTCTTCTGCCTTTCTTCACAACTGTCTAGATCATTTTATTAGCACAAACTACTACTGGTTCCAATTCTCATTTTTAGATACCGTAATTTATGGGGAGCTGATGTCTTATAAACACATGCCTCTCTCCTGTCTAAAAAGACAGAAATAACTTACTGAAGTTCAATTGTACTAAAAGGGAAAGTATTTGCCTGTCATGCATCTCTATGGTCAATAATGTGCTTCTGAAGGTGCTTCCAAAAAATGTTAGAACTTTTCCATTCTAGCTGGCCCTTGGATTACTGGGGCATTTTCACTGAGGTGGTAAAAACAGTGAAATAATTAACTAAGAAATAATGTTAATTTTATGTCAAAGTTTCCTATGGAGTTACTGACTCTACATGAGGCAGGAAATAATGAGAATGACTAGTCTTCAATTACATTCCATTAGAAAAAAAATCAGTAAATTTAGAAAACTCCTACTGCACAGGAAAAAAAATCTCTACTGAAAACACTTACTTGCTGAGGCATCCCAAAACTTGATTGACCCATCAGCATGCCTATGAAATATTAAAAAATTAATAAGAAGGTGAAATGGTTAGTCGGAGTGTTAGATGTCTTTGCTACCGATTAGAAAATATATAGCTAACATTCTATTTTTATTAGTATTCTTAGTGATATGTTTTCACAATTTATTAGAAGCTGATATTTTACGAATATGTGCCCCAATTACTTTAGACAGAAGGGATTAAAAAAACATTTGGAGGCTAACTCCCTGAAATTCCACTGTACTAATACTAATTCACCATTTCAAATACTGATTTCAGTTACCTCCATTTCCCATAAGCAGTTTGGTTTACCTTATCATGTGATGTTTCTTAAAAGATACCCTTTATTTGGAATGACACTTGTAAAAGCTGCCTAAGTATACTGCATTTCAATGTAAATGAGTCACCTAACTTATTTGTTTATCCTTGAAATGAGAATCAGATGACTAGTCTTTTTTCAGGACTGTCTCAAAGTCTCTGCAATGTCTAGTATAAAGTGACAGTAATCCTCATTAGGGCTAATGGGCTGATCTAAAATAAAGTTTAGTGCTCTCACTTTCAGTGATGCACTGCATGGTTATAAATTACATTTTATTTATGCTCCTTAGAATATTATTAGAAGGATCAGTCTCAAAAGAGATCAAAATGAACAGATGTAAGTATGTGGTTGTCCTTTTTGAAATAAGCTTGGCTTCCCTTTGAGAACTGAACTCTAACTATTTAATGGACTTCCCTAGCTTTAAAACTCTACGCAGCTATCTTCCAGAAGTTAAAGAATAAAAGCTAAGTTTCATTCAGGATATATTGATAGCGAGCAGATATAACAACAATGCCACATCACAATAATAATAATCCCTGCAAAACACCTGCTATCATTTTGTTCCTACCTTCTCTTCCACATTTTGCTTTACTTTCTTGTTAACATCTCAAGAAGAATGCAAGACAATTTCTTAAATCATTCAAATCACACTTAGAACATTATTTTCTACAAGAGGAACAAAATATTCTCACTTCTACTTAATCAGCTAAGTTATTACTACACTATGGCATCACTTACCCTGTAATAATTATTTCTGGGTAGCTCTGAGTGATCAAACCCCAGTTGCCTCCACTGATAGGCCATTCCTGGAAGATTAACAAATACACTGAGGAAGAAAATATCATCCAGTGCAACGTTAAGCCACTGAAATTACCACAGATACTACAGATTCCAGTATTTCATGTGACTTCAAAAAGTAATTAGACATATCCACTGCAGAGAAAAAAAAAAGTACAACCCAAAACAACAAGGGCTATAAACACCACCACTGCTCCAGGAAGTCCCTTAGCTTCCAGTGATATGGAAAGCATGACTCCAGGCTTGACATATGCTATATCCTCTCTAGACATCTGCTATTAGCCACTGCCAAAGACAGGGTAATGAGTCAAATGGAGCATTGGTCTTAGTATGGCCACTCATATTGTTTAGAGCTGTTGATTTTCAGTATTTTCAAATACTGTATGTACTAGATGTTGTACCTTCTTACTGTAACCTTGACGTTTCTGTCGAGCACCAACTGAATAGAGTGCAGGTATGAGGTCCACAGGACAATCAGCAAAATATTCACAACAGGTAACCGGAGATTCATGTATAGTCAAAGGATAGGGATTCTCAAATATAGGGTACCTTTAATGGATGAAAGGGGAAGACTGTTAATGTGGGGGAAAATATTTTTTTAAAAAAATGCAGAATACAAGAAAACCACTGAAGACTAAGTTTGCATTCTTTTCCTATAGATGAAAATAAATGCACATCAAATTCATTATGAAAAAATATCCTATGCAACTTTACTGTTCATCCAGTACACTATCAAGATACTGTAGTGCCCTAGACAGAACCTGAAGTTTGTACTGTTTCTAGACTATTTCTAGAACACCGCTATTCCCGACAGTTTTATTTTTAAAAGCTTACTATTTTAACGGCCTGTTGAAAACCTGCAGTTACCAAGTCCTAATTGTAGTAATGTGTATTTATTTCTAACTCTTCAGTATATTCTTCCAGGGAGAAAGGCAGGAAGAATCCACTTCTCACTTTGTATTACTATACTGTTCTCAGAGAGAAGGTTGTCCAGCACTTTTCATAACCTACACGCAACTACAAGATCACTTCCTGAAAGTTATAGATAGCAACACTCAGTTACCAATTAGAAGCAAACACATACATACACACACATACCCTCTACCACCACCTTCATCAGCAAAGTGATAGTCTTAATGAGGAAAAAGCCAATAATAATGAAATAAATATATCTGTGTGTAAAGAAACATTTATCTTCAGAGAAATGCATACTATGCATATGCTTTTTTATTTTTGCTTTTTTTTTTTTTTTGAAAGGCAGAAAGGGTCAGCTTCTCAACCCATCTAAAGGAAAAATTAGCAATAACAGATGAAAACAGCTCTGTATAAAGTTATTGATATACAGGATACCTGGAAAGCTAAAGCAATCTTCTAAATATTGAATGGAAGAGAGGCTTATTTTAACAAAATATTATAAATCCATATGAAAACACAGGGCAAAAGGAAACCTCCTGTAGCAAAAAATCTATTAATTCTGTTGCTTTTTTAAGATGTGAAACAATACTTTGCAAGCCAATCATTACAAAGACCATTATAAGTCTTCTAAAAAAATAACTGCTAAAGATTTTTTTTAACATGAAATGGAAAAAGCTTTAACATAACTTTGAAATAACTTTGAATTTCAGGCACTGCAAATTATTTCACTTAAAGCCTTGTACTGTTAACAAACCTTTTTATTTCAAGCTCATTAAAACTTATTTTATTAATCTGTCAACATATGAATGTTGGAAGCTTAATACCATTGATATATCAGAAACAAGTTTTGGATACAGCATACGGCCATGTAACATTGGGAACATCTAAATGAAATTGCTGCAGAGATTAGGACTAAACTTAACCTTCCAAATTCAATAGAGCCTTCATTATCTAAGTTATCACCATTGAATTTGATGATGCATATTTACAGGTTTGTTTTGCCCTAGGAGGATGTTCTTCACAAGGATTTTTTTTTTCTTCATTGACCATTGGTGACTTCTAAACAGGAACACTACAAAGATCTTATCCATCAGGATCCTTTGCTACTAATCTCTTCGTAGTTAGTTGTTACTGCCTATAATAATTTCAAAACTCTTTACAAAAAAAGTTTGCAGGATCCAGAATTTTTAATCACCACCTAATAGAATATATGGACTGCTCCATGGACAAAGGAAAGCGACTCAAAGTGTGTTAAGCAAGTATTAGTTGTGAAAACTGTCATAAGATACTACTTTTAAGCAACCTCTTACCACAGTAGTGAACCATGGAATAGATGTTACCTTTCTAATTTTATGTATATAATATTTATTGCATCAGTATTGAGTTACATTAAGCAATACAGATAGCAATTCATTTGGTAATCAAATCAGCAAATATTTATGTAATGACAACAACACTCAGTATCAGACAAAATAACCTGGCTTATCTGAGCAGTTATTCCACCTGCTCCCTTCCCCAAAATTCCAAGCTCCCCTCATAGCACTAAGGAATCAACTTCAGAATAAATTATGATAATTAAAAAGCAGCAGTGATCTGTGAGTAATTTCTGTCGGTCAATCAAGCCTGGAAAAAGTCACTGAATATTCTACTCACCTACAACATATTAAATTGAGAAAAGCTGATCTATAAAGATTCTCATTTCTGCTGAAAAAACCTTGTATTTAATATTCAAAATTTTATGTTCTGGACAGGGAGATGTTACAGTAGATTAACACACTATAGAGCAGAACAATAGGCTGACCACTGCAGCCAGCCATTAAAAAGACTACACAAGATTCTTACCCATTTTGTGCAAGGTCAATGAGTACTAAGTCCTTTTCCAGAAGAACAACTACAGCATATGGTTCCTGAAAGTCTGAAAAAGTTACCTATTAGTAAGTGTAGTTCTATGACTATACAGTTTCTGAAGATATTTTATATACTGACTCCCCAGAATACTCCAAGATAAGTTTGGAAAAGCCATGCTATCCCTTTAATTCAATATTCCCAACTCTCAATTTGCTAGAACCACTTAACCAGCTCAAATAACAGGAAAAGGAACATGTAGAAGAACTTGTAGAAGCAGTATTTTTCAGGAAGAGCCAATTACTGAAAAATAACATACTCCCACCCCCAAACTTCTTTTCCTCATATTCACTAGGGTTTAAATTCTAATTGATTACAAAATGGATTGAAAGACAGTCAACTTGACACTAAAGTAAGAAAATTGAAAGAGTTTCCAAAGTTTATCTTGCCCACTTTCAGGCAGACCTCATTTTCTGAGCTAAGTGGTTTTATAAACTCTGATGGAAGCTGACAGCTAAAAACATCGGAGTATTCAGAAATATAAGACTATTAATCTGGGACAACTACCTGCATGATAAAATATCCCCTTCCGCAAAAGGGAGATTACAGGTTAGTGATGAACTTCATGTGAGTATTGGAATGAATAAAGTCACTAAAAGTTATGAGTACTACACAAATACTAATCAAGACTTAGCATTGACTGGAAAGGTCTTATGCGCTCAAATATTGATGAACGCATCTGCTGCAGTAACTACAGCTTAAAATTGTAATGCTACTTTTTGTCTGCACATGCTTTTGGGATTAAAAAAGGAAAAACCATGCAACCAGTAATCAGCATTCTCCTAGAAGCAAAATAGGTTTTATAATAGACTATTATAACACATTGGGAAAGCAAAACAGACTTCAGACAACAGGGATAACAGATGTTGTTGCTGTAGTCTGATCCCCAGAGACAAAACACAAAGGCCATAGAAAAGAATATTCTGATGGAATAAAACCTCTGAGAGAAGAGGTCGAAGTACTGAGAAGAAAAAAAATAAAAATCTTTACAGAGCCTACCATTAGGATATGGTGTTTCACAGAGGGTTAGAAAATCAACAATAGAGTAATCCATCTCTAGCACAGCAGTACTTTTCCCATGCATAACTGTTAAACAGGGTCTTCTTCCTACAGTGTCATATGACAAGCCTCCTGAGAGAATGATGAAGGGCTCCCTAGAAAAAAGCAGAGGCATTTAGGATCAAGCCAAGATAATATGTAAAACTGGGCAGTTTTTGTAACCTTATAATAAAGTTCAATGATATAACATTAAACAGATACAGAAAGAATAATGCAAACCAGCTCTCCATGCAATGTGTAGCTTGGGTATGTGTTTCAAAACCTAAAACCCAAGAGTTGGAAGACTACAACTCAAGTCAAACATCTCTTCCAAAGTTTTTGTTCTATCTTGCTTATTTATCTTTGTAATTGTTTGCCAAGATGAGAGTTGTTTGTTTGTTTTTAATTTTGTTAAGCTTTAGAATTGCTTCCTTTCTACTGAACCGCAAATTTTGATTTGCCAACAGTCTCATTTATCCATGATATAAAATATTCCAGCAGGAACAGGAAAAAAGTCCCATTTACTTCCTATATAGTATTAGCCTAAGTTTTACAGGATGAACAATTTTGCAAACAGTGTAAAGTAATTTTGCCATCACAATAATATGCCTGTCTTGGAGAAGCAACCAGCTGCTTGATAAGCTTCAGAGACCTAACATCTTTTAAGTAGTAAGGACAAATAAATGCCCATAGTGTTCTCATCACACATTTACTGTAAACATTTTATCCATTTCCCTACCACCACACAAAAAAATTCAAGAAACTACTTATGTCATAGACTACTTCTACTGCATAATTAAATGGCTGAGTATAGCAAAGCAAAAATATTTCTTCTAGTCTTGAGAAAAAGGCATTAGAGACTTCCCTTCAAAAATTTTTTAAAAGTCTTTACAGAAACATTTTTAAATACATCCATATTTTCAACAATATGCACATTATATAGTTTAGTATTGCATTTATTGAAAAACAAGATAAAGTAATATATTCATCTTACTAGGTATTTTCTTCTTTCCCAATTATCAGAAGTCATCACTCATTTCAATACTGTTTATGTTTAAAATAGGGTATCATACCTTTTAAAGAGCAGACTGACTGTTTATAAGTATACACAACAAGAAATTTCATTATTGACTATTGCTTCAAATTCCAGGTTATGTTTCTGGAGGAAAAATAAGCACTTAGAGTATGAAATTCTTCTGATCTATTTTTATGCTCACTTTAGGTAGGAATCCTACTCTTTGTTTGCGTCTACCTTGGAAGCAGGTAAGATGTCAATATGTGGAAAAAAGCCATCCTGACATATTGTGAAAATGAGTCTGAAGAGATATTTTATTTTTTGTCTTTTCCTACACCACCATCTTTCCCATACCATCTAAATGGCTTTCACTAGTTAGCATTTGAAACACAAACATGACAGGTTAGGTACATCTTTCTACTTGAAAACTATGCATGAAGTATTCAGTTTATGCACATGCTGCCCTTCATGAGTTTAAGGCTTGGCTGAAGTTTGCTCAGTGTTTGCAACACTGAAAGCAAAGCAGACCAGGATAAGCTTTCAGTTTGTACAATTATTTCACAATCTGCCTGGTCCTTCAGAAATCCCTATGACTGAAGAGTTGATAGGATCAAAGAGATCTGCTGGCTGAGAAAAAGACCTTAAATGGCCATAAATTAGACCATGGGTCTGCCGAGTTCAATATCCTGCCTCCAACAGTAGCTAAAAGGGTATTTCTAGAAGAGGGGTAAGTTTTTTCCAAGCTTTCATTTAATCTCAATTCTTCATACTGGAACTTTACACAATCTTTTATGGTCAGGTCTATGAAGTAAATTTCAGGAAAAGGGCAAACTAAAGTTTAACTTGATATTTTTCAGGATGTCAATGAAAAGAAAAATACTGGTGTGATGTACTTGCAGTATCTCATCATGCTGGAATGATTTACTGCACTATTTTTTGTCTTCACAAAATCATTAGTTTTTTAAACAACAATGCTGCCAGGACAATTTACAGTAATTATCGCAAGTAATTATTGAACTTGCAAGTTCACCAAGATCAACTGACAATACCACAGTGACAAATTTAACTTTAAGTTTCATACATCACAGTGAAAACTGCATGCTGGTTTCTCCTGGTTTTATTTCTCAAGGTAATCAGGTTGCTTTGAGCAGGCTTGCCAGAATCTGTATCCTTATGAAGCAAAGAATGGAAGAGCTAAAAATAGATTACATAGATCTGTCACATGGATTTTTCACAGATGAGTCAAAGATTAAAGTTGACTTTAGTCTGCCAGAAAGACTAATACAGGTTTGCATATGAACTTTTCATATGTTCAAACTGATTTTACCACTAAGACAAGCTGTGCATTTTGTAATTACTTACAGTGTTGTCCTTCAGTTATGATACGTATTAAAAGGTTAGTGCACATGGATAATAAATAGAAATGGATAATTTAAAAGAAAAATAAAAAATGCTGTACTTTACATCATAGATGAGATGGATCCAACTTTGACAGTTATTTTACCTACCTGAAACAATGGAAAACATTTAACAAAGAGCAGTGCTTAGCTCTTAGAGAATTGCTATAGTAGCTGCTAAAATGCTGTAACACGGAGACTCTTCTTTGAAAGAGTTCTGCTTCAACAAGTATGGAAGCAATCCCTTTACATTAATTTCCTCATCAGTTAAAACTGTAAAATCTCTTGGGGAACACTATAAAAAATTCACTACAAAGGGGGGACAATGTTTCATTTAAAAAAAAAAAAACACTTTCAGAAGACACATGATGAGGTCTTGCAGAGTATGAAAAAAATCCAGCTGAGAGCTGAGTGACTCACAACCCTGAAGGATGTTTCTGCTCAATTTTAGAAGTAAACTGTCAGTCAGTTTCTGGCAATCTGGATGCAAGACAGGACAGTATATACAGAAGTCAGGCCATTGGTACCAGTTGGCTTACTTTTCAAGCCACAGGTGAATTTATCAAGAAGTTAATCCCTAGTAATAAAGATGTAAAAAAGACTTCAAGAGTTAGTTTAGCCTAAGACCGGAAATCTTAAAGTAGTAATGAAGATAAATTACAAATTAATTTTGGGAACACAACGAAATAGTACTATTCAAACTAAATTAACAGATCAAGAAGTTTTACTTATCTGGAGACCTCATTATTATAGTAACCTCTGGGTCCCAGTTATATACATCCATCTTAAGGGGTAACTCTACAGTTAGTCAATGACAGCTGCATTAGCTACCAAGACAATACCCTTTTGGTTATGTTTTATGGGGAGACTTTTGAGCTGTAACTTCTATTATACAGAGTTCTAGTAGCAAAGAATAACCTTGGGCAATTTTACCATAAAGCTAATATCAACTAGAGTAAATATTATAAGGAACTGAATCTGGAGAGATGGGAAACAGCATTAGGAAGCTCAAGAGCTTCTCTAAATTCACTTTAGACAAAAAAGTATGCATAAGAGGCAACATGGAAACAATTTCAGCAAGCTCAAAAGGTAACCTACCAGAACTCATCGCTTGAAAAATGGAGAACAATGACATTATGCTCTGGGATTGGAAAATTATGCCAGTTTGCTCAAGGAATATACCATAAACTTGCCTTTCGACTCCCTATCCTAGGTATGGGATGACTGTCAATAGTAACGTTTCTACATATATTCTGCCGGATATAAAACTACAGACATACTATTGTTGTAGGGTAAAAAGCTTTGGCGACTTCACAAGCAGCATGTGCATTAAACTAAACCCAACAACAGAAAAGCTACAAACTTAAGATAAACAGGTAGTCTATAAGAACCAGCAGTAGTCTCGTGTCCTCCTGTTTCCCTGACTCCAGCTTCACAGTATGGAAGACATAATGGAGAAAAAAGTGAGAAGGGATTAATAAGAGCTGCAACAGTAGAAAGAATAGTGTCTGTAGCCCCTACTACTGGTTGCAATCAGTTATGTTCCTTCCTTCTGTGTGGTTCTGGATGTATTTTCTCCAAAAACCTTATCAGAATTAGAAGCAGTAAAGAAAACAAGATCACATTAATGAAGTATTTTCCACATGAGCAGATACTGAAATAAACCTAGATCCTAGACCACTATGGATAAGGGAGGAGCAAGAAAGAAGGGGTGACAAAGATGTTAGAGTTCCATGTAGAGCACGGAAAAAGTGAACATGGAACAGTTACTCACTGTTTTTCCACAATAAAGAAGTGAAATAGCTTAAATATATATTAAACTCTTAAATATGTTATAAGATTTTGGGGGTTGTTTTTCGTGGGTTTCTTTGGTTTGTTTTTGAAGAACAGTTAGAACAGACTGCTGTAGAAGCAAGTTTTTGATTTGTTTCTTATATTCTTCAAGTGGCTAGAAAAAACTTTGGAAATTAAGCCATGAACAAATGACAGTGCTTTAGCTAAAAGTCAGAATTGTATCATGTTCATCATACCTAATCAATTTCAATTGGTAAAGAGAAAAAACATCAAAATTTTAAGCATTGAAAGGTAGTTCTGCCTTGCCTTAAAATTCTTGTAATAAGATTGCAAGTTAAACTGAAAATTCAAGTGTGAACTGAAGTACATGTAGCAATAAATGAACGGATATTTTCAGTGCACTGCTTCACTATCACAGCGCAAATTGGGTTTATGGTTTTTTGTTTATCTTTTTTAAATTAAAGTCCTGGAAAAGTATCACAATAGTTACAGGTTTAGAAGTACACTGAATAGAGAAGAAATATTAAATTTATATGCATCAAAACACTGTTTGGATGAACACTGGAAAATGAGAGGTGTAACAGAAAAGAGCCCACACTAGAAAAAAGTAGTCTCCCCAGAGAGCTATGTGTTCTTAGAAATTATACTAGAATGAGCTCCTCTAAACTGTGTGAAAAGTCAACTAGTTTTCAGACTGTCATATTATAACCACATTCAAATAATCTTTTCCTTCAGAATGATTATTTATAACAGAAGGCTGCAGCCCATGTAGGATCCCACGCCAGAGTGGGCGGAGGCACCTGAAGGAGGCTGTGACCCCGTGGGAAGCCCGTGCTAGAGCAGGCTCCTGGCCTCATTATCCTACTCTGATTTGATTGGTAATAAATTAAATCAATTTCCCCAAGTTGAGTCTGTTTTGCCCGTGACAGTAATTGGTGAGTGATCTCTCCATGCCCTTATCTCGACCCACGAGCCTTTTGCTATGTTTTCTCTCCCCTGTCCGGTTGAGGAGAGTGATAAAGCAGCTTTGGTGGGCACCTGGCCTCCAGCCAGGGTCAACCTACCACAATGGGTATAGCAATATATAGTAGAAACCTATATTACATCAATTAAGTAACAAACTTCTATAGATTTGAATGCCTGGAAAGTAAATTAAATAACCCCCCTACAAGTCAAAGAAAAAAAACATGCCAAAAAATATCAACATTTGCAAATAGCCAAACAGGTTGCCATGAATATTTTATCTTTATACTGCACTTTTTACTCAAACATTTAAAGCACTTTAGAACCATAAATAAAAGAAATTCCATACAGTTCATGAAATCCTTCAATCCTAATTGCAGTCTTGGTAACAAAACATGCTACTCAAGATACTGTAATTCCATCTGAGACTCTTGTTGCAATTACTGCTTTGTTACATTCTCAATGTGCATCATTAGGCACAATTCACTGCACAAATTACCGCACTCTACCAGAAGAGCTTATCTGTCAGTAACATTTTTGGGGGAGGAACACACATTCAGAATTAAGAATATTCGCATCAGGCTACTATTTGTCAGTTTTTCAGATCTGTGCTTCAGTGTTTTCTGTGCTTTATCAGCCTTTTTTTCTTTAATAGTCTCAAAAGTTTGAGCAAAAATACACATGAGTTTAATAGCATGGAAGAAGCATGTAGGTAATGCATTAGCAGTATCTTAACCTAAGTTAAGGTCTGTAGTTTGTTCACATATTGCTGAATAAACTATAAAAACATGTGTGATTCCCCAAAACTATTTCAGCTGTTTTACCATAGCTCAGTACCATCAGTATATGTATCCCAACAACTGGGAAACAGAGTACATTCCCAGAGAGAGGCATTTATTTCACATATGTTAATTTTGCATACAAAACAAGTCTTACCCAGCTCTAGTTGTTTTATATTCCACCTTAAGGATAGGTTTGCAGGGTTCTGGCTTCTTTCCATCCTTCAACTGCTTTCCTAAAGTGAATTATTTTTTCATATTAATCTTAAAGTTCCATAATATGACGACAAATTATGAAATTCACTATGCAACTTGCAAAGTAGACCATTCATATATATATGCAACACCTCTGACAATTATAGAGTATGTCTTGGAATAACATCATTAAAACTCTACATATCCCAACCTAGAATATTTAGGTTTTAGGTGTGTTTTTTGTC